AGTACATTCCCAATTCTGTTCTCAATACGGTGTTGCTCGTTGTACTTGAACATCCTAGTATTTTCTTGGCCGCTGCCATCTGCACCGTTTCCAGCTGCTTGACGGCCTTTTCGTTACCTTCCCATACCTCTCCTGCATACTCTAGCTTAGGTACAATCACATTCAAGAGAATACACCTCTTAATCCTAGTGTCTAGGTGTGGGTCCGTAAGGATCTCGTCCATCTTGCCTATCTGAGCTTTACCCTTCCCAATCAACTTTGCTATGTGTGCGTCCCATGAGCACTCCTTCGAAATCTCTACTCCCAGGTACGTATACTTGTCTACTACCGGTAGTTCTTCCTCCCCCCATTTCCATTTGAATTCTACAGGATTTTTCTTGTCTTCGTTACAGACCACTACTGCGCATTTTCCTACGTTCGCCGACAGTCTCCATTTTCGGGTGTATCCTACCGCCGCATCTAATTGTTCTTGCAACCCTTCTGGTGTTTCGGATACCCCCACGAAATCATCTGCAAACAGCAGGGGAGAGGGGGGGGGCTAACGCCAAGTTTCGGCACAGACAGGCAGAGTTTATCGTGTTTCTACGCTTACGACCGGTCAAGGTACGGCGTGTGTACAAACGTCCACACTTGAGAACTTGGCAGTTAAGAAATTGAGCCTCGAATAAATCAACATTTACGAACTTGACCACAACAGAAGGAGCTCAGTTCCGACGTGGTATTAACCCTTACGTGACTGGGTTAATTTGATTTTTTTTTGTTTTTTCCCCCACAACTGGCTCTCTGCGGTCAAAGATCTTCCAAGCATGCGTGTACACCCGTAAATCACGGCGGCAAGGATGGTGCAGCAGTGGGTCCATGTGTGGGGCTCACAGGGATGGGGACGCGGTATATGTAAGGGTGACGAACAGGAGTACAGTAGTACTACTGCTGTACAGCAGTAGCAGCTATGCGGAGAGAAATAGACTGCTGTACAGCAGCAGTAGTTTCTGAGCAGGTGTGCATGCCTGTCTCCGACAGCAACCATCCGCACAGAGGACGTACCTGTGCAAGCAATACCTGTTGGCACATCTTCTCCACCTCATCCTTGGACAGAGCATACGACAAGCGCAAATGCTAGCGGCGCTAGACGCGAAGACGCTGACGGGAAACCGCCTCACAGAAGCGCCAGATCGACAAAAAAACGGCCCGCTCATCAGAGAATCGAGACCATCATCCACTATCGCACAAAAGGCATAAAAATCGTGACAAATTTAACTGTTCTGTACTACAAGTAGAGAGCTGTGATCGGAGCTGTAGTCCCGAAACCCCTTGCCTTTGAGCGGAATTTTGTACAAAGCAGACGAACCACCCTTCACTCCCAATATTGGGAACCACAAGCACCGCAATCACAACAACATCAAGCACCGAGGCAGTACGTTAGCATCGGCTCCGGTGTGCGCTTTCTGTGCTCTCCCACGCGGATGCGGCACCGGGTTGATCACATGTTCAGGGTGCTGTATGTACCCTCCAGTGGTGGTATTTTGCGTTTGAATCTTGGACAGCCGGTAGGCAGTAGATTGGATCTGGAAAGGATATCTGCCCCACGTTAGAGAGATTAGGCACGGGTGAATAGTATTGTACTATGTGAGTCCTGTGCGCATTGCTGATAAGCGTGCTTTTGGGGTGGGCTGCCTGTGTCTCCCTGCTGGTCTCTATGTATGTTTTTTGCTCTTAGCCGAGGCACAACGGCGATCTTTCGGCACGCAAAGTGATCGGAGCTGAGAACGGAGCTGAATCGGCCTGTAGTTACATAAGGGTTAAGAACAAGAATCCGCCTATTTGGTGTAACAAACCGATGCAATGCGGCGGCTTCAAGATAAGATCGCAGGAAGGTTGGGGGCAACCCCACCAGTTTTGATCCCGGGCGGGGAGGGGGGTGGGTATTGGATGGTACGAGCGGAGGGGGGGGGTCTAGGTACCGGTTTGTACGGCGTGCACCCCTCGTTGCGTGTGCCTGCTCACGCTGTGTACGAAATCTCTTTGCCCCTGGGGACATTGAAAGAGGTTGACCGACATTAGAACATAAAGATTATTGTGCTATTCTTGATCCAAATTGCAGGAAGATCAAACGAGGCCATCGAATTGACGTGGGGGGCGGTGTGAATCACTTAGGGGGTGGGTGCGAGGGCGACCACAGCGAAGAGGGCATTAAAACGGCGGTTGCAGCAACAAAAAACGATTACGGCAAGTGGGGTGTCACCGAGCTGTTGGTATTTCGTTTGTCACGTCGTAGTCATTTTCGTTGTTGTTGCTGTTGTTGTTGCTGTTGTTTTGCTGTGACTTCCATGAACAGTTTGCATTGATAAAAAAAAATTGTGTGACGGTGACACAATTCATACCTTGCTATCATTTGTAACGCCCCTATTTGCGGACACGGCCAGTGGCCAGCCAGATGACTACAAAAGTTCAGTCTTCTGACTAGCTCAGTCTTCTGGACGAAACGGCAGCATGAAGCCGGACGATGAGATTCATGGCATGGAAATTCTGGAGGGCCTTCGCATTCAAGAGTTTCGTCCGATGCTCTTAATATTCCGTTAATTCAGCGTGGAGACTCGTCAGGCTGGGCAAGGGGTTGGTTTGGTGGGCTGATCACTTGGCAGTCTTAGCAGCGGACCCGCCACCTTTCTTTACGACTACCGTGTGCAAACCAAGCTAGACCAAAGTACGCGCAGCATGAAGGCGCAGTCGGAAAAGTACAGTGGAGGTCGGTATGCGGGGGAGCCGTCGTGGGCTTTGCTTGAGTGGAGCTTGTAGAGCAGAGGAGGGGGTCGCAGAGCAGGGGGACAGTCCGGCCATCAGTAGAGGACACGAACGCCCAAAGTGCCCTTCCTTGTGGACCTGCCATGGTTTAGTGTTGGTCGTGATGCATATTTTAGCTTCATTTAGGCGATACCGCGTCAGTACGTCTACGCTATGGTAATCACGGAAGCTGCGGTGCGTTGCCACAGGCAGGTTCTGTTGAACAATGTTTTTCGTACTATTTTCTATTGGCACGCTACTCTCAGTGTCAAGCTGAGATCCACCCAGAATGAAAGACCTCTGTCCCCTGCGTGGGGTCCTCAAGGCACCTTCTTATCATAGGCGGAAGCCCGCTTAAAGTAACAACTTTGAAAGTAACATAATACCCCAGAGTATGTTTGAGGCAGCCTCACGCAAATTAATACTGGTAGGCGTAAGTGAGGCGCTGACTATACCACAGTCGCTCTCGAACACATTCGCCTTTGCTCGGAATGGTTCTGGATTTGATTTGTTCAGTAGGCGGAGCGATGAAGACGCCGCGGGGTCGAAGACAAGTTGGAATTGGGAATCACGTTGGTTTGTTTTGTCAAAGGAGTTGGTTGCCGATACCGATAAACCATCTCAAGGTCCGCCTTCCTTCACGCTCGCGGCGGCAGTGGTGTGGTGATCATTTTCCTGGTCGATAGTGGTTTGCTCGTCGTTTGTTGGTAAGCTGACCTAAGTTGGACAAATTGATGGGTGGTTGGTGTGATTTCTGTGGGCGGCCCGACCAATGGGGAACGAACGTCTCGTGAAAAGCTGGGAACGATTGTGAGCTGTGTGCGAATTGAACGCAGTATAGACTGGCATGGCACAGCTTTAACTGCATTTATTGGCAGACCTCATCGGGAACATAGTGTTTTACGTGAGGTGGTGCCGACTCAGGCAAAAAAATGGGTGCACTGGATGCACCAGCCGGGGCCGCACAGGAGGAAAGCCACACGGGTATTTTCTCCGCCTTCTTTTCTGCGGTGCTTGGCATAATTGTTATCGCGAGAAGGACTCAGCCGTTCCGTACCCTCTCGTCGACCATCAAGTCGAGTATTGGAATTCTTAGTTTTTGGGTACACTCAAGAATGTACGATTCCCAGATAGTTTGGGGATGCATGCATGCAGCGTTTATCGTGAAACAAATCTCAGTTCATATCTCAGTTCGTTTGACTGCATTGAGATTCGTACCCGCGCCCCAAACCTCAGAAGGTTGCGAGAAGACCAACTGAACCACTCAGCCACCACACACTCATGTGTGGGCGTGTACAAGAAAAAAAACATGTAACTGAACGCGTAAGCCTGCTCGAGCAGGCCCAGTGAGGGAACCGATTTTGTCACTGGGTTTCCTCAAAACCGTCATCAACCCATCTGGTCAAACAATGGGGTATAGATGAAGGCTGGAACCAAGTGAGTTGGAGCATCATAAAGAGGAAGCGAAACCGTTCCCATCTTGAGAGGTCTCAAAACTGGATGTTCTAAAGGGGAACCTGTGCTGTGAGAAACGTGGGCGCTTTCCAGTGTAGCGCACTTGATCTTTGTGCGACTGGACTACGATCACCGGCTGCCTGGATAACGTGAGGGAACTATGTCCTACGAAACAACAGTAACGACAACGTCCAATAGTCATTCGTTGTTGATCAGTCACCGTCGCGATGTCGGCAAACAATAGTATTCCAAAAGCATCATTGGTTATCGGCGGTGTTAATCGCCGGAGATAGAGAGAGGGGGTCCCGACGGAGGGCGGAAGCCAATGTTAACATCGCAACACGGTTTCCCCTCAAACCTGCCTCTCTCTGTCCACACGTCATCTGTATCTACCAGTCGGGGAATTCCGGCTACTGCTACTGGATGCAGGCGTCTGGAACGACCAAGTCCCCAAACGATACTCGAATTGCGACACCCAAACCGAGGTCTACTCCAGACTACTGTCCCCATTACAAGGAACCCTTCGTTCCCCCTATCGATTATTACCCCGGCTGTCTCGCCTCTAGTCTACTCCCGTTAGTTGGTTGTCGCTGCACTCGTCACGAGTCCTGCACGTTACGCTGAGCGTACGGCTTGTAGGCATCCGAATAGCATTTCTTACTCGCTCGGAAACGCCCCTCCCGATGCTGTAGCCCCCCATATTCATGTAATGTCTGGGGTTTCGCCCGGACTCAGCGACAACGTCTTATCAAAAAGCTGTGAGATATATACGGTCCTTCACCACTCGTATGTACTGCCTCCCCTCCGTCGCGGAATGAGAACAGTGGTGCGGAGTGGGTAACGTTGCATGACACAATTATAGCCGCACAACAACTAAGCTACTTGCACCGCCGCTCGCTCTTACGCCCAACTACGGTCCCCTAATGCAAGCCCGCGGCCGCACAAGGACGTTCCCGTTCTCATCCTGATCGGCCTTGTGCGCGATGACACGCAGCTTCACCTGGTCTGCCTTGCTGTCGTTGCGGAAGCCTACTTGATAGTTTCCGGCGGAGTGCTGCTCACGTACTCCGCAGTCCTCCCTCGTGCTCTCGAAAGCGCAAACGTCCTACGGCGCCTACTTGCTCTTCCTCATGAAAGCCTAGGGGGGTACGCGAGGTAATTTTCTTCGTGCTTGCACGATTGCACACCAAAAATGGAAACACACTTGCTACCGTTTCACAAGAGAACCCCGTCAGTTCGCTCGGTCTACGGACATTATGCCCCGCTCACCTTTGCGAAATTAGTGCTATTCAATTTCCACTACAGGTCAACAAATTCCGCACTCATAGGAAATCCGTGTGGGTACCAAAGCTCTTCGGCAGATACCTTTTGAAGCCCTGCCGGCCAATGCACGCCGACGAGAGAGGTTTGCCTGTGAACCAGGTGCCCTTCAATGGTCAATTCCAACAAACGCGGCATCCAAGATCCTAGTTGGGTCAACGACTGGTTAAACAGGTGTCCCAGGGTAAGGACCCGGAGAGACCGCGGCCAAGACGCTTTGTCCATCGGTCGATTGAACTCATCCCCGAAGTGCAGCTCCTTCAATGTGCTCGGCCACACGACCTTAGACACATCTTGGTCGAAGTGATCCCCAAACACGATGGTCTGCAGCGACGCCGGCCATTGCACGCCTTCAATGCTCTGGTCGAACGCCCTGCCAAACATCAGACGTTGCAGCGATGGCGGCCACACTACTCCACGAATGCTGTGGTTGAAGTTGGACCCAAACTCGAGGCGCCGCAGCGAAGCTGGCCACGCAACTTGCTGTATGCTTTGGTTGAAGTCACTACCGAAAACGAGATCCTGAAGCGATGGTGGCCACACGACTCCAAGTATGCTGTGGTTGAAGTAATCCCCAAATCTGAGCTCCTGAAGCGACGACGGCCACATGACACCAAGTATGCTTCGGTTGAAATCGTAGCCAAGCGCCAATTTCAGCACAGATTCCGGCCACTTTACTCGTTCTATTGGGTGATTGAATGCACCCAAGACGGTGAACTGCTGCAGGGATGCTGGCCACATGATGCCTTCAAGTGCTTGGTTGAACTTCCACCCGACCTCCAGCCGCTGAAAGGACGTGGGCCACGTGACTCCTTTAATCGGCTGATTGAAGGAACGGCCAAGTTTTAGTATCCGCAGCGAGGCAGGTAGTGCCACGTCTTCAATCGACTGGTCGAAATCTCCCCCACCGAAATCGCCCTCGAAGGATATCTGCTCGAGCGATGGTGGCCAACCAACTCGTGCTATCGGTTGGTTGAAACGGGTCCCTAGCGAGAGCTGCTGCAGAGACGAAGGCCATGAAACTTTTTCGATTGCGCGGTTGAAGGACTGCCCAAGGTTTAACATCCGCAGTGAGGGAGGAAGCGCCACCTCTTCAATCGGCTGGTCAAATTCACTCCCAAAATCGATTTCTTCCAGAGAAGATGGCCACGAGACGAGGGAAATCGGCTTGTTAAACCTGTACCCGAATTTCACGCGGCGCAGTGAAGCAGGCCACCCAACTCGTGGTAACCACCTGTTGAACGATCCCCCAAACGTGAGCTGCTGCAGTGATGCCGGCAGGGAAATGTCTTCAACGGGCATATTGAAGCCGTCTCCAAACTCCAATCGTTGCAGCGACGAGGGCCAGACGACCTCCTCGACCCATCGTTTGTAGCCAGAACCGAACGTGAGCTGTTGAAGCGATGCAGGGAGTTGGACCGGCACGATGCTTTGGTTGAACGACCTTCCAAACGTTAGCTCCTGCAGCGATCCAGGCCACAAGACGTCGTCGATACACTGATCGAACTCTTTCCCAAAGGTGAGGTGCGTCAGTGACGCTGGCAGCGCAATTCCTTCAATTGGCTGGTTGAAGTCACAACACCCGACACACAACTGCTGCAGAGAAGTAGGGAATTTGACTCCTCTGATTGGCTGATTGAAGTTACACCCGAAAACGAGATGCTGCAGTGACGAATTCCACGTTACTCCTTCAACGGGGTAGTTGAAGGCCATCCCGAGCCTCAGATATTGCAGAGAAGCAGACCAAGTCACTGCTTCAATGGGTTGGTTGAATCTCTTACCAAACGAGAGATGCTGAAGTGACATCGGCCAAGCGACACTGGAAATGGGCTGGTTGAAGCAATCCCCGAAATTAAGCTGTTGCAGCAACGGAGGCCATTTTACCATTTCAATCTCCTGGTTGAAATTACGTCCGAATTCCAGCTGCAGCAGCGACGCGGGCCAAGCGGGCTCTGTGATAGGGCGGTTGAACGACCACCCAAATTTAACCCTCTTCAGCTGACTCGGCCACGCCACGGCGTCAACATTGTCGTTGAAGACATCCCCAAAGAGCAAGAGCTCAACTTCGCGTAACACGTCAATCGGGCTGGAGAGCTCCGTCCCGACCGAAAAACGATCCCAAGTAGCGTCATGTGCCCGGAACCGTGGCACGCGTGAAGAGCTACCCCCGTTCTCAGGGCTCGTACAAGGATCATCGAAGGTCGCAAGCAGACGTTGCGGAATCTCGTCATCGATTCGCAAGTGAAGGTCGGTCACTTTACGGCACGCCTCACATACATGCAGAGACGCCAGCTGCAGTTCCTTCGTCGACGTGTACCACTGCTTTCCATCGCAAGCTTGGCTGAGGGCAACGACGAAGGCATCGAACCAAAGGCTTCCACCAACACCTGGAGTCGAAAAAGTGATGGGTAACACCGTGGGCCGTTGGACTAACTGGGTCGCTTGGCAGCGTGAGGTGCAGCATATTCCTCATACTACCAGATTCGAAAATAATGGGCGTGCTGTGGTATGGAGGCTCTCGACGAACAGATACTCGCGCCCCTCATGCGGGCATGTCAAGTCCTCGATTTGGAACCTGACATCGCAGAATATTGCCCGCTTCGCACGGTTGCGCTATTCAAGTAGGACAGGCAAGTTTCAAATTTCCATGACGCTGAATCTAACCTGTGGCTTCGCCTCCCACTCTCCCGCGTTCTGCCCCAGCACGCACCCTAGACGAATCGGGACTCATGTCGTGCTTCTTCCCTGTAGCCTCAGACATTCCTGCGGCGACGAGTGCCCGGCAGTCCCAACGAGTTCCCGAACAAAAGAAAACAGCAGCCAAGCGTGGGTTTAGGTGTCATGGGGGCTTTCGTTGCAAAGGGCGCCGTGATGAACAGGCCTGACCAATCCGAAATGTGCAGCTTCGCAATTCAGCTACAAATGAGCGCGGCTCTACCTACAGCAGTAAAACACAAATTGGGGCAAATCTTGACTGAACGCGTGCCGGTTCCAGCAGGCGCGTCGAACGTTGATGCAAGTTCTACGACTTGGAGTTATGCGGGCAAAAAACGTCAAAAAGTTTCAGCTATTTATGTACATATGCACATACTATATACAAACACCCGCGCACAGATTTGCGATCTCGGCGGCAAGCACGGCGCGGTGTTGAGGGTCATCAGTGCTTTCCATATCATCAGTCAGAGCAAACAACGCCACGCAGTAGTGGATCCAGAGCAATGTAATAGGTTATTGTGATAGCAACTCGACGAGAATCGTCGCGTTGCCTGTCTGAAGCTTTCCAGTTTGGCGGTTAATAAAGTCGAGGGCGCCCACCGCGACACGCTCGCCCACCGAGCACGACAAATAGTTCTGTACACAGAGTAGATGACATAAGATGTCACACCCCCTGAACATTTTTTTTTAATTTTCAAAGCTCGATTACTCCACACAGCAGAAAGCGTGGCCGGGCGGCGTTGGCACCGATAGCTTTCCGAAACAAACCTATCGTTTGGCATCCTCGTCGTCGTGGACTAACATTATTAGCTATGAATTCGATGATGCGATATATTATGTCACCTACTGCCGGTACATGCCATGCATAAGAACAAGGAGCACCCTCCATACTCCAGTAAGTTATTGTTTTGAGTAGGTAGATGAATTGAAACCTCTCATTACCCATCCATGAAGAAGTCGTTTTATACACTGATACTTCGTAAGTGCTGCAAAAACTATCCATGGACAAACCCAGCAGTTCCGTTGTTGCTGTCTTCACAATTAATTACAATCCCGTTCGTTCTGCTCGCTCTACCCAGTACCTTCTTCGTCTGTCCGTACTATTATGTATGATAGTCTGACACTTGACGCGGTCGATTCCCGCCGTGGTCACAGGCTAACTTACCCAAAAAATTTACACGAAAATAAAATTGACCCGAAGAAGGGTCCGCAAGTCAACGACAGATTAGTCTAGGACCCCCGGCTCGCTTCAATACGCTTTGCGAGGTAGTAACCATAGACTGGACAATAAAGCAAAAAAAAGCAAAAGAATAATAGTGTAGTAGAAGTTTAGTCTCTTTCTCCGGCAAGAAAATGACGCCCGAGCGAACTTGAACTTGTAGTCACAAGAAATAGCGTCATGATGACGTACTTCATTCTGCTTGCCGTGGGAGATGCGCATCGTTACGCGAGGAAGGCGTTAACTCCAGGCACAGAATATGCTGCCGTAGACCCTATCCCTCTAGCTCAATCACAGCTATACCCGATACATGGTAGCATCATATCCAGCGGTAGAAGAATCGAAAAAAAAAATATCTTCTTGGTGGCGAAGCGGACCCTCTTTATTGTGACTCTCCAACTGCTTGCTGCTCGTGGATGGCCACATGGCGACACAGACAGACAAAATCTAGGGTTTGACGTCGGTCTAATCCGCCGCAGGAGGTTGAAGCTATACTCAAAGTCGGGGAGGGGTCGTGATTTGCAGTTCCCTACGGAACCGTACTTGAGGCGCCATGAAATTTGCACTGCAGTAGCCGAGGTTGTTAGTCGGTAGGGAAACACAAAAAACAAAATTCACGGGTGGGTTGGGTGAGTGGGGGGACCCCAAAACAATGAAACAGTCGCGGTTCGCGTTGTTCTGGGGCCCTACCGGCGAAAAACATCGTCGCCGCTCTGAACCGCTGCAAGCTGTCACACAGCACTGCATGTGCGGCGAACCGTAGGGGGCCATGCGCATTGCTTGACGGAAAGAGGCGGCGCCCATCGCCTCACATGCAGCAACCGGGTACACGGGTAGCCTCCTACTCAGCAAGATGCAAACGATTGCCGTTGACGTTCGATGTTATTGGGACCCTAACGGCGAAAATGCAACAGAGAGAGAGAGGTAGACTAAAGGAAGGGAGACTCGAGAAGACAACGCATGAACTCTAGAGAACACACCCACTCTCATCCCTCTGGCCCACCGCAGGCTTGAACACGTGTAACGAACGGCAACATCCGATGTGCGCTCAGCAACAACAAACACGACAAAAGAAAAATAGTCGTCGTTTCCGAACTGCTGTGGAGATACTGTAAGTTAGTGGAGACTTTCTTTCTTTTCTGGTATGAAGTGGCAACAAAGAACAACACGACTATCTGTGTAGACTAGAAGCACGACGGACGAACTACTATCTCAATGCGCTTGCCGTCGCGATAGATGCGCACCGCTACCGCTATACGAACGAGCAGACTGTTGTCAAACCTGACTACGATAACCGTACCACCATTGCAGCACATTCCGAGCATAACAGCAGCAACCGCAGCAGCAGCCGCATGTGTACAATGGTCACTCAAGAATAAACGCAAAAAATAAATAAAAAAAGATGTGGCGCGCAGCACGCAGGACCCTCTTTCGCTGTTCAACCGGCCGTTTCCATGGCGAAACAGGGCAAGGAACAGTCAAGGTTGACTCTTGCCGGCCACAGGAGGCGGAAGCTGCTCAAACTCGGGGACGGCTCATGATTTGCGATTCCACACCGAACCATACTCGAGGCGCCACAAGATTTGCACTGTAGCTCGAGATCAGCATTTTAGACCGGGTCGGGCAAGGGGTGGGGCATGCGAATGAAACTTCCACGGATATTGAACGATGAGACTGAAGCTAAAGCTAAAGCTTCAGAATAGATCTGATGTCGGCTGAACAATTTTGGGAATGCAAACGTTGATCGAAGCTCCCACAGCATGTCGTAGGTTGCATAAGATACCGTTCCCCAGGACCGATTTTTAAAGCTCGATTACCGCAAGAGGTAGAGGCAGAGGGATGACACCCCCCCTACTGCAGACCGATTTCAAACCTCGATTGTTCCACAAGCCATGCCGAAAGAGCAAGATAATTCTATGCATACGGAAAGACCTCGACGAGTTGTTTCCAAGACCACAGTTTTTGGTGTTGGCAAAATCTTGGTTGTGGAACAATCGAGCTTTGAAAATCGGTCAACAGGGGGATAGGGGTGTGCCGTCGCTCCGCCTCTTGCGACGAAAGGATGTCATATGTCACAGCACGGGTTGCACATTGTGCACTTCGACAAACCTCTCGCCGAGCCGGTTCCAACGCCGCCATTTATCGGCACCGTTCATTGAGCTTTGACATTAAGCCAGGGGGTAAACGCAAGATGCGTTGTAATTACCATTTGGTAATTACTGCTTCGCACCGGTTTCCGTGCTACAGAGTAATCGAGCCTGCACGTACGAGATTTGAGAATCAGTCCAGGGGGTGTGGTATCTTAAGCAACCTATGGCGGTAGCTTTTTGACTGAGTAGCTGAATTTAAGCCCAGGCCGATCCTGGCATCGATAGATACGGACCAATCCCGATTCAGCCATACATGCTGCGTCTATTGTAGTGCTACTTGCTCTCAAGGCCAACAAGGGGCCGTTCGAAACCACGGAGGAGAGAGAGACTACAATTGGGTGCGGGTGGTTGTGATCTTTTCGAGCCTTTCTGAATACCCGCGACTCCCCCCGCATGTTTGCGACTCACCACTTCTGGTGTTATCTCCAGTGCTGCGATCTTCACGTGTTCAATGTGTGCTTTGAGCTATGAATCAATCTCGGTTGCCTCTGCTGCTCTCGGACTGCTGTTGGATGTGGCAGAGAGAGCTGGGCTGAACCAGCATGTGGTGGTGGACACGCGAATGGTGTCACAGAAGGGATGGGTGGGGGGGGGGGGGGGGCGACCCTCTCTGCAAGACCACTTGACTTGTACCCACCAGCCACTATTTTGACAATATCCACGAGGAGTACTGCACTCTTCTCGCGTTAAAAATCGAAGGCAAGCACTGCAGGAGGGGCGGGTAGGAGGCCTCAGGGGGAGGAACCCTTGTGGTGACCACGGATTGGAGCTCCTACGCGGCAGAAATGCTGCGTGCGTGGGCGCTGATTTTCAAAGTGACGAACAAGTAAGAAGTACAAGTCAAGGGGTGGGACCGATCACCCTCTGTTATTTCAAAGTACTTCGAAGAACGATGAATCGCGCACACAGATGAAATTTTCAGGTTGACTGACACGGTCGGCCACATCCGTCCCTTGGCACCAACCGTGAAACGTGCAGTTATAATAGTGTAGTGTAGCAATCAATGTCCGTTCAAATAATTGCGAGTGAATGGCGAAGGAGGGGCGAAGGAGTACTCGCTCGAACTTGATCAGCTTCCTACGTAGCTGTACAATGAAACACAGGGCTGTGCCCTGTGTTATCTCCATCCACAGGGTACCAGAGCGGCACTCGGTGTATTTACTTCACGAGTGTTCGGACTTGCCCGAATTCCTTCTCCTTCGTTGTGCCTGTTTTTTTGTGTGTTACATGTAGCTTACGAGCGCGAAAGCCCGTTTCTTTGCCGCGAAGAACATGGGAGAACCCGTACTACACGATAGTAGCAGTAGTACGGGGATGATGCTCGTATTGGTCAGCACAACGCATTGTTTCGACAAGCAGAAAAAAACAACAACAACGAAGATCACAATTTGTTGATGACTGGTGGGACAATTACTGCTGAACGGCCGGTAGCTCCAAGCGGCCAAGAACATCCACACGGCAGGCGCTTGCATGAACAACTTAGATATGGCGCCACAAAAGAACCCGCAAGTACGTGTTTGCCCGTGGCTCTACAGAGATACCAGCAGGGACTACAAAGATAGGGCAAACAACAAGAAAAAAATAGAATGGCCACGTGCGGGAAGTACCACAGGTAGGTGCGACAACGACGAAAGAGAACGAGATCGACCGCCAGTTCAATTCATTTTGTCCCTGCTGCGATAATACACTCAACAGCCCGGACAGAGGGGGCCTTAAACGTTCACCCCCCCCCAAAACAAAAATCCTCTTGCCAAAAAATACTTCTCCCCAGGGCTGGAGATATTCGGTACCGCTGCCAATTTTTGAGGAGAAATGGAGCCGTTACAATCGCTCAACGGGGGGGGGGGGGGGCCTTTTTTTGGTTCCCCAAAAAAATTGGGGGGAGCTTCCCCCAATTTCCCCCCCCCTTTTTTCCCCCCTTTTAAGGGGAAACGGGCTGGGGGGCGCCCCCCCCCCCGGGGGGGGGGGGGGGAGGGAAAGAAAAAGGGTGTGCCTCCCCCCGGGGGGGGGGGGGGGCAAAAATTTGGCCCCCCAAAAAAAAAAAAAAAAAAAAAAAAAT